GAATGGACACAAAGTATCCGACATTTAGAGTGATGGCTGAGTTAACTCTTTTGTTAATTTTTGATAAAATATATGTTAGAATTAAAGTCTATTTAATGAAATAACATACATTTTCATTTTCTAATTACACTTTTTTGTGATATTATTCTGGAATATATTCAATAAAGCAATTATAAATTCCAACATTAAACTCAACTCATAATTTAAACTAATATTAACTGATTTTAATCGATTTTAATGTTTCAATATTTAATCATTTAAATATTTACAACTATTTATAAAAATAGATTGATCACAAAATTTAGGCAAATTTTAGTTTCTTATAAAATGTCTTCTTGGTATTTAAAAAATAAATCAAATGCCAAATTATAATTCATTTATAAATTTTAAAAAATTGTATTTAATCCATACAATAAAGTAATGTAACAACTGTTTAATATAGTAAGCTACAGTACTTACAGGTAGTATAAGTAAATACAAAACTATTGATTTATTTTGTGGTCAGTTAATCTATTCAATTCATCGATTGATTTATTCAGTGATTGTCCAAGAAAAACAAATTAGTTTATTACCTTAAAGTAGTATCGTAAGTAAATTAACTTATCATCAATATTAACTTAATTTGCAGTAATATATTTTATTGGTTTATTTAATAGTAGTATTTTATTTGTTGTTTAATATTTAGTATTTGTTCATTTAGACCAATGGTTTAAGTTTTAAATAAACATAATGTCAAATCATTAATACAATTAGTATTAACATTAAACAATTAATAGTACAATAAATAATAATGAATGTCGAATAATAACATCAGTGCAATAGAAAGTGTTTGAAATGTGATACTAATAAGTGAATTAAGAGAATATAGTATAATAGAAAAGTTATACATTAGATATAATACTTATAATACTTATAAAAGTTAGCCGAATAGTAGAAGCGAATAATCGACTCTATATTGAATTTGTATTTGTATTGTGTTATTAATATTATATTAATATATCACACGAGCTGTTAAAAGGTCTTAAACATAATACAATATTAATAATCTTAGTGGTGGTGACGAGTTGTGGATACCGTATATCTCATATGATTAAGAATTTCATGTATATTATGACTCAATCTTTCTTTTGAATCTTCTGTTCCAATACATCAATGGACTGATCAAAGGGACCGAACATATACTTGCCTTTGCTGTAAGACATATCATGTGGACAGTGATGAATGATATTAATGTATAAAACTCATACCTATCCGGATCAGTGGAAACCCAGAAGTCATAAACAAGGTCTTTGAATCGATCAGACGTCATGGCGTTCCCGTTTGCCACGTCTTCCTCCTATTAATAGCCAAAGAGATCAATAAAAGGCTAACTTTTGCCACTCATTTCAATACAATGAGCATATATTTGAAGTGTTCGTCAGCTTTCGAAGTGTCCATCGTTTGACTCGTCAGGTATTTCTTATAGTCTTTCAAACAGAATA